TCAGTTTTGAGTTCCGCCTTCGAGTGTCTGTTACGAAAGATGGAGACCTATCTCTAATATCTCGAATCAGAAATATCAACGGAAAGCCATTTAGTTTCTCGTTCGCATATCACACATACCTATTGGTTTCTGACATTAGGTATGAATAATGCTTTCTTGTACTTGACATTAACATTAACATTCTGTATAATGAGATAAGCATTCACATTAACATTCTGGATAGTGAGATAAGGATTGAAGGTCTCGAGACACTTGATTACCTGGACAATCTTTTCCAAAAAGAACGTATTACAGAACAAGGAGATGCGATAACATTTGAATCCGAGGTAAATCTTATGGGTTATTTATATGTTTAGTTACATGCACAAGTGATTTGAAGCTTTTAATTTTCGGTCTGCATTTCTAGCCTATGAATGACGAGGTTTTCAAAATTGATCCTTTCTTCTGAGCAGGTGGATCGTGTTTATCTTAGTTCCCCAAATGTAATTGCAGTTCTAGATCATGAGAGGAAACAAACATATGTTATAAAAAAGGAAGGTCTTCCTGATGTTGGTAAGCTATTTACTATTTAGCGGAACACTGCCTTTCTAGTTCCTTCAATGGCACAACACTAATTTTCATAACTTGACTTGAAATGTAAACTAGTTTTTAAATTGTTACAGAGAATCTATGCAACACCTTTCATCCATAGTATTTAGTTTTATGGTGATTTCCTTGATATTGCTGACACCTTTGTTTGTGCTTGAATTGCAGCTGTGTGGAATCCGTGGGAGAAGAAATCGAAGGCGATGGTGGACTTTGGGGACGAGGAGTATAAACAGATGCTTTGTGTTGATGCAGCAGTTATAGAAAAACCTGTGAACTTGAAGCCTGGAGAGGAATGGACAGGGCGGCTTCAACTCTCCGTTGTGCCATCGAGCTTTTGCAGCTACCATGTCGGTCTCGACAGTAGTGGTTTTTGAGAAGATGGAACTGTACAAAATATAATTTTATCAGTGTGTTACATTCTGATATGTAACTTATGGCAAATAGTAGTGATTTGTAGGAGTATAAAGTTTTCTGCTGTCTTCTTTTTATGCTGCAATGCAACTTCTAGTTCTAGAAAGAAAAGCCTATTTTGTTGTGAGAATGGCTGTCAAATTTCGGATATTCGAAATCTTTTGTGAAATTCCAGAGGTGTTGAATTAATAATTATGTTGGTATTCATAAATTCCAAAAACAAAAAGGGTGCAATATTAGATTTGTTGGGGGAGTTTGGAGAGCTTCAATGGATTATAGTCCAAGATTTTAAGAGACTTTGACACATCTTCACATAAAATTATGAGTCACTTCTCTTATATATTTAACATTTTTTCTATTTTTAGTTGACATTTGATTTATTAACAAACATGATTATTTCAATAATTTCCCATTCAAATGTGAGTCTCCCACATTACTAAATATGATTCGCACTAGAATTTCACACCAGCCTACCACCAAGCCGAATAAACTTAGATACCATTGTCTGAAAGTTTGAAAAGTGTAGAGAGCGTCAATGGACCATGTATGTTTGACCTTCTAAGTTAAACCTAAGATGAATTGGTAGTATTGCCAATATTCTCATCATGTGACATCTCATACTCTTAGTAATTACCGTTAGGTGTAATATTTACTTCATCTCTAAGTTGTCAATCATCAATATAATCACTGCAATATTTACCTCATCTCTAAATTGTCGATCATCAATATAATCACATGATTCATCATTTTGAACATCACAATCAACATTATTAAGATTATGAACAAGCAACCGAATTAGATCAACACCAAACAAATTGTTATCTTTCTTGCGTGTAGTTTATCCCACCTTATTACCAATATCTTTAATAATTTAGTTTTTAATTTGTCTTGCATTGACTTTGCTTCTAACATGAACCTTTCATCTTTTGAAATATGCACACAAGCCTTACAATCAAAGACTCTCTATTATTACATGTGATTGGCAATGATTTAATGGTAATATGTGTTGCAAGATGTTCTGCCAAGTTGTTAGACATTTTGTCTCTAAATGATTAAGACTCTTTAGTAGAAAGTAGCATGTTAAAGCATAATGTCTTACATTGTGTGAGACATCCTATCTCGCTCTATGTTGCTTCACGATCAAGATATTTGTAGTAATTTTCACACATTTAAATATTTGTTTCATTTTATGTATGATCAATGATTTGATCGTGTATGCGCATTTTGGTTTAAGAAAGATTTAATATGAATCAGTTTCATCAAGATTGAATTTGGTATATTCAAGAGGTTTAGATTTATTCAAAATTTGATCAATCAAGATTTGCAATCAACATTATTAAAGATTGATCCCATGCGTTTTTGGAGGTTCAATTAGATTCAACTTCAAATCCTACTGGAGTTTCTAACTAGACTATTATTACCCGTTAATGAGTCATTCTCCTTTGTGAAGACTCAGACCTTGGATTGTTGGGCTTGACAATTTTTATTGTTATTGAGTGTTTGTTTGTTTATGTGTTTATTTTGTAATACTTTATTCTTGGGTCATATTTATAAGTTAGGAGAATAGAGTATTTGAGTTGCACCATTACTTTACCATTCATATATTTCTGTAACTGTTCAAATACTTGAGAAAGTGTTTGAGTGAAAGTGGGAGGGATCTTATATTTAGAGATAACCTAGATCGAAATTCACGGGTAATATTAGGAAAAAAGACATTGAACCAGGAGATTTAAAATCACACCAATTTGAACTTATGACTATTAAGAGTGAATTTCCTTTCATTGGATTAATATTATCCAGATGTAGGTAATTTTGCACCGAAGGTTATCGATTCTTGTGTGTCATACCCTAAATTTTACCCTGAGTTTTTCCACCTGCAGCAGCATAGCATAATCGTTTCATTTTATCATGCATTCTTTTAGTTAAAAGCATTCATCAGGGTTTATACGAAAAGTCAGGAGTTTTGCCATTTTATCTGGCCATGATGACATTCATTAGGTCATTTTGTTTGATTCAGAAGTCAAAAGGCTTGATTTCTCAAACTCAGTGTCTCTTTCATTCTGTTGCATCTTATTTAAGAGGTCTAGAGGGTGACAATCAAGAGTATTGTCATCATCTGAATCTTTGCAAGATTTAATTGTAATGGAGAATCAAAAGTAAATAATCATAGAGCGATTCATTTGCATCTGATTGTGTATTCACGATTTTTCGATCAGTAATTCAACGCATTTACAAGACATCAACATTTTTTACTTATCACAACATGCATTTTGTTCTGTGTGACGCTTAAAATATCAACTAAAATAAACTTTTGAATCTACAGATAGACTAGTTGAATCAATTTTCAAATATACGCAGAATTGGCGGGGAAAAATTTCAAAATCGAGCTTGAAGACTCCAATATTCTTAATCTACGGTTCACATAGTTTAACTTGACGTATTAGTTTTAATTTTTTCGACTACTTTTTTGATCGCATGTTGACCAGCCTAAGCCTTTTAACCGGTCATTTTTTACATCAAAATTTAATCAAAACCTGTTTGTTTTCCAGAAGTTTATTTCGCGCACAAATTTTATTCATTTTAATCCTTTTTATTTTTTTCAAAATATTAAAACAAAATAAAAAATATTTAATAGGTTGTTGATTTATTTTTTTTTATTTTTTGTTTATTAAATTTTAAAACTAATTTTTATCTTTTAAAAATTAAAAACAAAAAAGAACATTTTAGTCTTTAAACTAAATGGTGAGAACCCTAGACAAGGGATACAACAGTGGCTAGAGCTGTCAAAATGGACTACCCGACTTTAAACATGTCGGCCCTTATGGGCTTGGGCTTTTTAGGGTTGCGCCACCAAAATTCACTTTTAATGTGGGCTCGAAAATTACTATTCGAAACCGGTTCTAGATGGTCTTCGAGCTATCTGGCTATAAACATGTTTTTTTGATAAAAAACTAAAATAAAAATGTCATAATATTTATTATAAATAAAATTAAAAATTATATTATTTTAAACATAATACATTTTTAAGTAATATATTATCTTTTATCAATACTATAATGTGTTTATAAATACAATACATGTCTAAATTATATAAAATAATAATCAAATATTTAACATAAGAGAAATTAATAAAATGCGAGAAAAGAGTGTTGATTATATTAATGTATAATATTTAAAAGAGAAAGATTAGATATAATTTATATAAAATTTAGTGAGGTGAGAAAAATCAATGTGTTATTTTCGAGTAAGATAATATAAGTATTAATATAATATTATAAAATTTATAGCGTATGGGCCTAATGGACTACCCACGACCCATATGAGCTAACCCTAGAGAATTTCTTAATCCACCCCTTGATACTCTTAGCCACCTAACGCATTTCCTTTTATGCCCCATACTTCCGGAGCTGTATCTCCGGAGGCACATTTTTTTCTTTACGCTGGATGCTTCCAGAGACACATCTAAGTTCCATAGATGCATCTCCGAAATCTTATCAGAATAGGTTTTTTTTATAAAAAAAATCCAGTTTTGTTGGTCGTAAATAAAATAATATGATATATATAAAAGAAGTCATATGTATTTATAACATATAAAAGAAGTCATATGTCATAAACATCACCAAAAAATAGTACATCAATGTCATCAAAGTATAGTACATCAAAAATACACCACAGTCATTACTGTGTGCGTCTGACAACATATCCATCCTCTTTTCTGCCGTCTCCTCTGCCTCTATCGCCTCTTCAACTTCCCGATCTGCGTCCTCGACCATCGATCCCACCGTCTTGGCGCAATGTCTGCGGTACATAAATGCCCCCTCTGCCACCGCAATCATCCCATCTAATATACGCTTGTGGTCAGACCCCTCAGGGAAGAAACTAACATCAATGCCCGTCCGCCCCATCTCCATTATCTGAAGACAGCGAGGCAGGACATCCTGAGCGTGGTCCAAATGAGACTGCTGCTCCTCTAAAATCTCATAATGAGCTAGTTTGAACGGTTATCCTTCTGCAGTGGGCACTATATGGGGGTGTGAGACGGTGAAGAACCACATGATGTAGCCATCAACACAACTCCAGTCTCTCGGTGCTCTAGTCGGCCGAGACTCGTCTGATACCATGTGCCTCTGATAGTCAGCATAGATCTCCTTTATCTGCATACGGGTCAATCCAAGGGGAACGAAGACATTAGGGTGTCTGGATATCGTCTGTGTGTACCCGAACTGCCGCATGACGCGCTCGGGCAAATATGGAACAATGATGGTCAAACTACATGCCAACCATCCTGAGAATAGTGAGATGTCATCAAACGGGCATGTCACACAGTGATCAGCATAGACGTTGTAACATATGTCCTCAGCAGCCAGACGATCGAGATAGACTCTGTAAGGGTCTACCGCCTAGTTCCCCCTAAGCGGGAGAAAGGCACGGGCATGCAATATCAGCTTTGTGTAATTAGGCACACTCCCCGACCAGACGATCATGGGAAAGTGATGGAATATCCAAGCCTGAAATGAAAATTAAAAACATCAGGATCAAGTATTATCACGAATATAGAATGAAAAGAAATGAAAAAAATCAAAGGATATAAGATTGTTACCACGAGTAGTGACACACTGCCTGCCACAGTCCTGGTCTTTCACAGGCATCCCTCTCCCAACCTTGAATATGTGTACGCTAGTGTAGCCGCCCCCCAGTTGTACTCATGGATCCGTGTTGAATCCAAAAAGTACCCGAGGTAAGCGACATCGGTATATGTGGAGCTCGTGTCCACAAACTGTTGAGTGCCGACTAAAAATAGAAAATAACACCTCAGCACATGCTGCCTGGGTATCTCAACCTCAGTTGGACCACCATCTTCCTTCCGTGTAGCAGAGAATGCCTCACCGAATCTACGCGTCAGAAAGGAGAACCTCACATGAGCCCCTCTAGTCTTATCTACCTCCTCAAGCGTATCCAGTGGATCAACCCCAAGCTCTTCCACCAACATCTCTCTCGCATCCTCCTTCGTCATCCTACCGTGATGGAGGAGGGTAACCCTGATTGATATATGTAACACATAAGAGATGTCGTCTAGTGTAATCTTGATCTTGCTGTGCGGTAGATGGAAAGAGGACGTCTCAGGGTGCCATCTCTCCGCAAAGCCCATCTGCATCCCGTTGCGGATCAGGCTGTAACTGATCTCACAAAGGTCTTTAAAACCAGAGGCGACAAGAACTTCCTGGAACCAAGCCTCCTGTGGCTGATCCAAATCTAATATCTTATGCCCATGGTTATAGAACTTTTGCGAATGACGAGTCTGAAAATTTCCATAAATAAGAAATAATGGTACAAATTATAAATTTCCAATGAAAAAAAAGAAACAATCTGAGTAACGTTACCTCTCCATCCCAGACATGCCTGGCAGTATGGTCAGTGTACCTTATCAGCAGGGGCATATCTGAGAGCCCCCCTGGGAAGTCCTCAGGCTTATCATCACCGTCGTCACTAGCATCTTCCGGTGGTGGGTCATCACCCTCTAGAGGTGGCATCGGATCAACATCATCAACAAGAGGAGGAACATGAGTATCCCAACGAGGCCTGCGGGAGGACAGGGTCTGTGATGAACTCTTAGCTGAATCCCGACGCCTCCGGGATGAAGAAGTGGATGATGGGGTGGGATACGAGGCCGAGGGAGTGTCCTAGGCATGTGATGAAGAAGGTTGGGCAGTAGGCTGTGCCTCAGCTATAGGCTCTGCTGGAACAGATGTATCGGCCTGACTCCGCTCACGTCTGACTATTGCATGCTGTGAAACCCGTCAAAGTCGCAATCTATCGTCTCTGTATGCCATAATGTCTGCAAGGTATAACCAAGAAAAAACAATTAGATACAAATAAATTAAAAAACAAAAAAGAAAAAAAATTAACATTTTTTACTTCCGGATATGTACACACGGAAAACTTCCGTAGATGTATCTACGAAAGTACCCATAATTCACAATGTTTGATTTGTTTCGGAGCTGCATCTACAAAATTTCCCTAACATTAATTTGTTCCGTAGATGTAGCTCTGAAACTTTCTGCAACTCTAACAATCACGACAATGACGTCCCCTACCCATGAAAATCGATTTTTTGAAGTCTTGATCTTCCGTTTCAGCCAACAAAAAATACCTACATTGTCTCTAAACTATGTTTCTAAAACTATCTAAGGATTTCTACCCCTAAAACTATATTCTAACTCATTTACGGGAAATACTTGAGAATACCTCAGAAACTCGAAAACTTACCGATTATATCGAGCTTTGAGTAACTTGGAGTATCTTGGTCGTTGAAATGAATGCTCCTTGTCGAACTCGATTGAAAAAAAAAAGTTTGGTGAAAAATGATTTTTTGAGGATTGAGAGAGTTTGGAGAGTTTGAGTAAAGAAGATGAAAAATGAATAATGAGGGAGGAGAAGAGACTCTGGCGCGAATGTATTTCAATATGTTCCGGAGCTATATAAATAGAAACATTCCGTAGATGTAGCTTCAGAAAAAATCAATGTTGAGTAAAAAAAGGTGCGTCCTGAGATACATCTTCGAAAGTAAGAGTATTTTTGGAAGTGCACATGGCGCCTAAGAACTCCAAGGGGTGGGTAAGAAATTCTCCTAACCCTAATGGGTAGTGGGATTTTCAAATTGGGATAAAAAGATCCTGAAAAATATGGACTTTAATTTTAAGACTCCAGCTTTATAATTTTTTGAGTCTCACATACCATCTCATATAGACTAACCTATTTTGAGGGTTCCAGCGGGCGCATCCCCATTTACTCGAATCTGATATCTTGTTGGAAAATGAAAAAAGAATGTGGAAAGTTACGGTAGTAACTCACTTCACTTTTTTTTCCATTGTCACTCAATTTGCTTCCCCATACAGTAAACAAAAGTGAGTAAAGAAACAATTTCCACACCACAAAAGCCACTTGAAAACAAAAGTGAGTGAAGAAATCATTTCCATTTACTCTTCCAACAACACCACACGTTCCTCTCTCATTTAACATACCATTATAGAAAAAACAATTGCAAAAATTGAAGAAACCAAAAGTGAGTGAAAGAAATGAAAACAAATGAAATGACGCTACAGTATCCAAACCATAACCTATTTTCTTTCAGACACTCATCTTCCAACTAAAATAACTTTTCCTCCTTCTCTGTTACTTTTTTTTTAATTTTTTTTTATACATATTGTTTTATTTAGTGACTTTTTTATGGTTTTATTTGTTTGTTTGTTAAATATTGTTTTCATGTATTGGTTTATTTTTAAGTAGTTTTGGTGTATTGATTAAATAAGCTTGCACTTTGATTTGGCTATTAATTTCGAATGTGCGTAATATGTTGGTTGTTTTTTTATAATATAAGGTGTGGTTATTATTTGTTTCTATTTTAAGTGCGCTACAATTTCGGAGTTAAAAATTCAATTTAACTTTATAAACTGATTAAATGCATAGAGTTTATTGTCTGGCTTCATATATAGTGATTTCTACATGAATCGCTTTACAATTGCTTAATATAACGCTAAATTCGGTAGTTTGTTTGTCGTTTTATTTTACCTTTAAAAAAGTATATTTTAAAGATTATCGATTTTTCATAGATGCATTGCAATTTCAGAGTTAAAATTTAATTGGCTTAAATGCACTTTTGCTCCCCTAGTTTGGGCAATTTAAACAATTGATCCCCCTATTACAAAACTTGTGAATTTGGTCGCTTAAATTAGATCCACTTTAGATTTACTTGGTCCCTCATACAATTCTGATGATGTGTCATGTTTTTTAATGAGGTGGCAGTCCTATATGTTTTCCATGTCACAAAGTGTTTTCCATGTCCCCAAATGTTTCCCATGTCATGTTTTTTAATTACATATAACATTATTATAATTGTTTATAAATTATGGATACTAGATTAAAACGTCATCAGATTAAAAATTTGTCTTCCTCTTCCCCTTTTCAATTATTCTTCGTCTTCTTCTTCCCCGAGTCACTATTCTTCGTCTTCTCACTCAGTTTCTTCAAGTTAACATCAAATCCTTCAATTAAAATGTCTCAGCAGTCTGATTGTAGCCATGGAAGTAGATCATCAAGTCGTTCAAGGTATGTATGCAAGTGTGGTCTCGACGCTCCGTTGATGACAGCATGAACGAATTTGAACCCAGGTTGCCGTTCCTATGGCTGTGGAATATATAAGATTCAAGGATACAAAAAATACACTCACTTTGCTTGGTTGGATGAGGAAATGGATCCTAGGGAAAAACATATAATTTCTTCACTGGTAAAGAACTTGAACGAGGAGAAGGAGATGCTTAACATCAACAAAGCAAAGGAGGAAAAATTGAAGATGAAGGTGAAGATCATGAAGAAACAGTTGAAGATTACCTGGATTTTGTTATTTGTAATGTTCATTGCATTTGTTGGAAAAATAATGAATAAATAGGATATAGTTATTACGTTTGTATATTGATTGATGGTGTAATGGTTGGTGTATTGGTTACCTTGGATTTATGTGATGATGTGATGGTGTATTTGTAATGTTCTTTGTAATTTGGCATAACATTGATGTAATGGTGGAAAGTTAATGGTTGAAATTTAATGTTATGGTATTCATGCTATTGTGTTAATGTTAGTGACCTGTAATTTTTACATAACAATGACCTAACAATGGATTATAATTTGACCTATAATAATGACTTATAATTTACAATGGATTTTAATTTGACATAACAATGGACCTATAATTTGACAGAACAATTACCATGCCTTATAATTTGATAGTGGACATATTATTTGGCATAACAATTACCATGCCTTATAATTTGACAGTGGGCCTATAATTTGGCATAACAATTAACATGCCTTATAATTTGACAATGGGCCTATAATTTGACTTAACAATTACCATCCTTATATATTGCTTGATAGTGGACCTATAAGTTGACATAGCAATTACCATGCCTTATATATTGCTTGACAGTAAGTTATAGTAGTCTGCAACATACACCAGAATAAACATACTTATAATTTGCTTATAGTAGTCTGCTACATACACCAGAGTAAACATACTTACAATTTTCCATAAACATACTTATATATTGCTTGACACTAACATTGTTTGACAGTAACATATTTGTCTGCTCATCACCAAAATAACTATCCCATGACTTTAACATTGTTTAGCCAAAATATCAACCAAAAATTACACTCAAGACATAACTTGAGTAAA